CGCCAAACAGAGATATTAGAGAAGTGCATAATCAGGTTCACACCTTTTAAAGCACTGCTTTTGTTCTTAACAATTTACTGAGCACAGCAGCACACAAAAGTTAGCATTTGTGAAGTTCTCTGCTTGATCTTGTGCAGCATTCTGTTCTGGGAGAGCATTTTTGGCCGTGTCAAAACAAACACTTGGAGGTGAGTCCAGATGATTTGATGTTCTGTAGCTTGTTTTTTTCTAATGCTCCTGGCTTTTACGCGGTTAGTATATGACAGCTTTGCACAACATATGGAACTGATGGTGTGTTTCAAAGCTCCTTACACTTGTCAGAAACTTCTAGTCTGCACAGTAGTCTGGAACCCAGTGCTCGTGTGTTTTGCACTTGGCAAAAAGCAGTAATGTGATCCATCTGCTGGCTGCTGAATTTGAAATGTGGTAAAAAAATGCATGAGAGAGTGATGGAACAGCATACCTATAGTAGAGCTTGACAGTGCTGATTCAAGGCTGAAGCTTTGTGCAAACAGCTGTAAGAATTCACCTCTATCAAAGGATGAACGTTTTAAATCGTGTTGCTGAGGTTTTCCAGGGCCTTGGATTAGCCTGTAATCAGAAATCTTTTACCTTACATCACCGTGTTGTGTCTGAGCTCTCAGGTTCAAAAGCCCCTGCTGTAGAAATGGCTCCAGCAGATCCCAGCAGGACAAGGTCTCCTGCAGGAAGAGCAGGGCTGAGCTTGCACACCTGTCAGTTATCCCATCCAAGAGCTGGGTGTTTGGGTATTCTCGTTGTTTGGAAGTTTGTTGTTAGGAAAATATTAATGACCTCCCAACGCATGGTTCTGTGCTGTGTCTGATGGATTGCTAGGCCCCTGAGGCACAGGCTGTCTGAGTTTGCCTTCCACAGAGCCAAACACATTGTCAGCACTCAATTAGACATTGGATATATGGTTCTGTGCTGACTCAGAGCTGAAAGATAGCCACTATTCTTATTGAGCATCCCTGCATAGAGCAAGCAAGCTATTTTTACCCTAACCTAAACCTTTCTAACATTTTTCCTGATAGAAAAAAATGAATCCTGTGTAATTGAAATAATGTTGAAAGAAGGGATCTTTTCTGGGAGATGGCAGTGCTGTTTTTAACCTTCCAGTAACAGAAAATGCAGCCTCTGCATGTGCCCACATCAGTGCCTCTGTTCCCTCTTGGCTACACCAAATGGATGAGCTGTTGGCAAGAGAAGCCATGCTCTGAGACACAAAGGGCTGATCAGCCAGTGTAGGAAAAGAGCAATGGGGAGAGAGGCAGCAACACCTTAGGAATGAAAGGGTGGAAAGCTGATGGGTCAGTGCCAGTACAGGGACAGTTGTAGAGTGAAGCTGGCAAATATTTATTTGGAGGAGAAAGAGGAGAAATGTGGGCCATAGATGCAGGGGAGGATGCTTTCTTTCTCTGGTGTGTTTGGGCAGAAGAGAGGGAAGGGAATATAAGGTGAATTTTTTTTTGGATGCCACAAATTTTTGTAATTCCAATCATGCACAGTAAAGCTGGGCAGTGCTGGCTTTGAAGGTTCCCGTGCACCTGTACAGGGTGGGACAAGCATTCAGAGGCAGAAATAGACACTAAGCCATCCTGTTTGGGCAATTATACTCTTCCTGCATTCTCACCGCAGTCGGCAGTTTAGTGGCTAAGCCACAAAGGAGGCATAAGGACGAGTATGATCTCCTTTAGAGAATACCTGTACTTAACAGAACCTCCCTCCTGGGATGGCATTCATTACGTGTCTATTTATTCATCCATTGCTCACACGATAATTTGCTTCTGCAGAAATGTATCTGGGCTGCACCCAGTGCTGGGACTGAGCCACGTTAGCTGGCACAGCTGGACATCATTTACCAAGAGAAATTAGCAGTACGGCACACATAATGGTGACTGATGTAGCTCTGTCTGCCCATGGCTGCTCTAAATGCAATCCCTTCTTCCTCAGGAGCTCATCCCAAATCCCAGTGGATTTTTAATTGCCCTGGCTTGCACTATATGTCTCTTCAAGAGTTGGTAATATTCTAAGAGGGCTGTAAGTGTAAGTGGAAGAGGAGCTGTTGATTAGGAAGAGGCAAATGAAATGCCAGCTCCTGTCATAGCTCACTACTTATGTAAAGGATTTGTGGCAGCTGTGGTAGTGTCACTTGGGTACTAATTGGGAGTCCGTGAGTACAAAGAGCACAAAATGCTGATGAGGAGGGCATAGGAGCTAGCTAGGATGAAGCTGGCACACATGCCAGGCTGCTTTACTGGAACACATCCCTCTGCATTATGCTGCGGCCTCCTTTCTCTGCAAATTAATCTAGTTTCTGCTGCCCCTCTTCCCAGCTGAACACACAGGCAATTTTCTGTCTTCCAGATAAGATCTCTGCTTCACAGTGTTTGGTTCTCAGAGAACCTCAGAGTTCTGGCCTAGAGTTACTCAGCTTTCCATCCCACCTGGTAACATGCCCTGATCCACTCACCTCAGCTCAGCCATCCCGGGCTGTAGGAGTACAGACTGACTTCTTGTTTGTTGTAGAGCCTGTGTCTGGCCATCAGGAATCTCATCTGTCATCTGCAGGAGTAATTGCAAAAATTGATTCATGGGAAATGCCTATAACAGGCAAATCCTTTTGACAGATCACACAGCCATCATTTTCTGCATTTATTTGAATCAATCAATGTTTTGATGCATATTTGGGTCATAAATACTGTGATCTCAATTGCATTTATTATTATGACAGCTGTGTTCTACTATCTGTTATTTATTAGGTTCTGTTGTCCCTTCGTTTTACACCTTGTGGAGCTGTCAAGTTGGCTGTTCACTGGTGACAAAGCTCCTGGCTCTCCGGAACAGAACCTTCCAAAAATAAATTCTCCAAAGAGAGCTGAGTAAAAGCAGGATGTAATTTGTTGGAGAGGCCCTGGATGAACTTTTCTCAGTTTATTGGAAGGAGGACATTCGTGTTTTTTTCCTACTTTTGTCCAAATCCAGAATTAGACTTTGCATTTATCATCCAGAGGTCGCCGAAGCTCACAGTCCCACTGATCGATGTGAATTTTGAATCATCCCCACTATGTCTCCAATCTGAATTAATCGGGTTATTCGGTATTTGAAATGTTCGGATGCTGACTTGAATGTTTCTAATTTTCCCTTGGAAGCTCTTTTAGCTTTATGTCTTTTTACATCATACAAATGGCACGATATCTGATTGTGAGAGGAATGAATTCCAGCATCCCTCCAAGGTCAAAGTCAAACTGCGATGGGCAGAGACAGTCATTTTCTGCCCTTCATCCCCAGCAAGCAGTCACACTGTGCCAGTTGCTGCACCAGCTCTGCAAGGTGTCGAGCACATTGGTGTTCACTCAGGAAAGCATTTAATCACAGCGTACGACTCTAAAGTGCTTAATATAAGCATGTGCTGAAGTGCCTGACTGGACTGGGGCCAGTGCAATTAGAGCCTCGCAGGGCTGAGGTTTGTGAGCCAGAGTTTGTGCCAGCTAAACAGCGAGACTGTCTGCAGCAATACAGCTGAAATGGGTGTGACAGAGTGCTGCACATCCTTCTTTCTGGTATCTTCATGTCTCTATTTGTTTATTTAATTGTAAATGTAAAAAAACAAAACAAAACAAAAAAACCCCTGTAATTCCCACTATAAACATCACAGTGCAAAGCTGATGTGCAACAATTGTGTGCTTCACAAAATATATGCAAATGGATGGATATAATTTGTAAAGCAGCTTTGACTTCTTCATATATTAAAAAAGAAGAGATGTAGATCATATCATAGTTTAGCATTCTGCATGTTCCTGGGCTTTCATGCATCGCTATCTATGAAAAATTCATTACTTGTGACTACTTTGATTTTATACATACGTTCCAGTTGAGGGAGTGTGCAGCCTCCTCTTGCCCTTTCTTTTCTTATTTCCTCCCACCCTTTAACAGCTAATGAATTAGATGGCTAATGTTGGGCAGTGGCAGAAGTGGAACAGCCCAACATGAGCCCAAACTCTCTGACCAAAGGAGGGTCTCCAGGTATCCATGTCCCACCCGCTTGGGTTCACCAAACCCAGAAAGCTAAAATTTATCCTGGAGTAACCGAACAGCAGGAAAAGCAGCGTAGTTACATTCATCCGAATCTCTAACGTGGGCAGACATGAAATCAGCTTAAGATCTGACAATTCATGCAAAGTTTCCAATTAACTGTAGGTGTGTTGAGAGTGCTTTGTTTTGGGTGTTTCTGTGGTGTCACTAAACAGGCGGTTTGGTGTTGGCTGGAGGAGTGAACAAGAAGTCAAGGAGATTTTACAGAGGATATTCTACCAGGAGGCTCTTTCCTGCATGCCAAAAGGTTTTCAGTTAATGCTTTGTGGTTTTGAGGGGAGGCGTGGGGGAAAGGGAAACTTGCCCTTTCAGCTGGACATCCCTGGCTGTTTGTGAGCTATTTCTGTCAGTGAAATAGTTACTAAGCGGTGGGTTTAAGTACAAGTTCAGTGCTGGTGAATAAGGAGACTGGAGTTTTCTGTCTGACTGCAGGGCTGGTGCCTCAGTAATATTAACAGTTGCCATAAAATGATAGAACAGATTAAAGATCTTCAGTTTTTGTGGACTGTTTCTCTCCTTCTGCTGCAGGAGCCAACAAGGAGCCTTTGGCTTGCTTTCTGTTTGAAACTCCTTCCAGCCTTCGCTTCACCTTCTCAGTGATGTTTGAGCAGAAGCTCTTCATTTATTCTGCCCTGGTTTTGTTCATGCTTTCAGATGTAGCACAAGTTCACTGCTCTGAAGTTTCTCTGGGAATGAAAAAAACTGTTTGATTAAGGAAACACCAATTGCTGCGGTCCTGTCAGACTGCCTAACTTTGTAAGCCAGGGCTGCAGCACATCCAATTAAATGGAACTGCTCTCTGGAGGATTTGGTTTGCAGAGAATTAGTTTTCGTGTTCTTGGCCTTGTGTTTATTAAATGGTTCTTTCCTTTTTCTTTCCTTTGCAGTTTTCATCTGTAGCTTCATGGTGGCAGCGCCTATCTTTGGTTACCTTGGTGACCGTTTCAACAGAAAGATCATTCTCAGCTGTGGGATCTTCTTTTGGTCAGCTGTCACTTTTTCAAGCTCCTTCATCACTGAGCAGGTAAGATCTTTACAAAGGCACTTAGCAGAGTGCTCTGAATGCTGGCCAACGTGCTCCTAGAAACACGCCGTGTGTTATCTGACTTCCTGGGGGTCGAGTCGATCTGTGTGACTGAACTGTGAAATCTTTGGTCTTAAAAATATCCATAAAAATAACAGGTGAAGCATGGTGAAGCAACACTTTCCGTTGACGTAAGGGCTTTGCTTTCAGGGAGATCCTAAAGAAGCTTTAAAAGGCTATTAAAACTGAGTTGAAAAAAATGCCTTCTGGTATCACAACAGAAGTCACTGGAGTTAGTTGGGAACTCTGCTTATGGTATGTGGCATGACAAAATGCATCCAGTTTGATTGCTTTCCATCAAAGAGAGTAGGGGTGGATGACAGCATGGAGATTAACCAGAATTTTAGCTCCTTTTATGCTAACTGATGGATATGTCTGGGGAGCTGATGGTGGGACTGACAGGCTGTGCACAGCATCCCTCACCTGTTTTCAGGACAGCCGCAGTACTCCATTCTGAAGACTCCTCATTGTGCTAATTTCCTTGCCTGTCAGAGGCTCTTGGAAGAAACAGTTATCTGGCATTTTCTGAGGAAGAACATCCCCTTTTAAAATCATATTATAGAGATGGTTGAGTTGCGGATGGCAACATTCCTGGAGAGACAAATCAGCTCCTGGTGTCACCAGAGCGATTTCCCCAAGGGAGGCAGGGACCTTCCTCTCTCCTTCTGCCCAGCTGCGTTCCACAGATTGTAGCATTTGGGTCACGCCTAAAGAAAGACATCCTAAGCCTCTCCTCCCTGCTCTCTCCTGCCCACACACATGCTCTGTAGTTTCTAAAAACAGAAAATTTCTACCTAAAACAGGCAGTGGCACTCAAGTGTTTGTCTGGCTTTCATGTCAGATAGCTGCTAAATTTCTAAATCAAATATGTCCATGGCCAAATGTAGAAGCCTTTAACTCCAATAGATGGTTCTGGTTTATAATTATCCAAGAAGAACCCTTTCTAGAGAAAGACCATCTCCTAGCAAAAATGAAGCACATTTTTACATTCTGGTTTTTTTATAAACTTTCTTTTCATAACGTTCTGCAAATTTAGCTGTGATTGTAGCCCAAAGGAGAGGCAAGTGCTTTTTGAAAAAATCAGCTGCACTTCTCAGGTTACAAACATGCATTCATGCTCAGGTTCTCAGCAGTCTCTCCGTAATGGATCCAGTTCTGTAGTTACAGATGGCAGAGGAGTAGACACGAGGTACTGGAAGTGGACCAATGTCATCTGTATTTTCAGAGATTTTTAGTTGAAGGATTTGGGGCTTTCTAGCTAAAGCAGTTCAAAGACTGATGCATGAGCTCGTTAGTAATCAGGAGATCAGCATGAAAATGTCGTATTTGTAGCCTACGAAAGTAATGCATATAAAACTGGACTGTGTTTGAAATCTGGATTCCAGTTTTTTGGAGGTCAAAAAAAGACAAGGTCAGAATGGCCCAGCCTGTTAATTTCTCCTGTATTTACATGAGCACTAACTCTGGACCCAAACTACAACCTTGGAAACAAACTGCCAATATCTAGAAAAGTCCCCCACAATCCTCAGCTCTTCCAGAGTAATTTTGCATTAAACCAGAGATCCCAATCCCAACTCCTTGCTATCGAGTCCAGGATATCATGATATATTTTGCAGCTGCTGTATGATGTTCTCCACCCAGTGGCTGCAGCAGATGAACGAGGTGATAAGCATAATCCCAGCCTCACACAGCATCCCTCCCACCTCAGTATCTTTATTGGAGGTCTGGTCACTAACTGGGAAGGCATGCCACACTGAAGAAGGTGAATTCCTGAAACTTGTGTGAAGAAAAGAAAAGGTGATGCAATCTTTTTCTTTGTGCAATGGCTAACTAGGCACTTTTCCTGATCTTTGCCTTCTAAGAAATCATTTAAGGAGTGAAACAATAGCTTTTCTCTCAACATTTTTTTAAGATAGTATGTATGTTTGGCAGGGGAAAATGCTATGAGCTGAAATATGAAAAAAAAAACCTGTTGATGCAAATAAAAGTAGTAGTGAGGCTACTGTCAGCAGATGTGTGTTCAATCCAAGTCAGCATGGAAAGCCTGGTTAGAAAGAGCAAGCTGGCTCAGGCTGAGCCCACAGAACACTGTACAGAAAACTCCTTTATGCAGTGACAACAGAAATACAGAAAGAGGCAAGAAATGACAGTCATTCAATAGAAACAGCAAACTGTATCTTCAGGGATTGCCTTTCTTCAAGTTTTGAGAATGTGTAGTGCCCTGTGAATGCTGTCTGTGTAATTAATAGAGCACACATCCACAGAGTGCAGATTTGGAGGGTAGATGGAAGGAGGCAGCTTAACAGAGGCAGAAAGCAGCTACAGTTCTGGCGGACACTGAAAGCCCACAAACTGTAAGAGCTTCTGACAGTGTGTTGATTAGTTCCTGGATGTCATTTGCACATGTAAAGGAAAGCGATCAAAATGCCACAGTGTGAGGGAAGATTCAGATTATTTCTCATTTGTTGTGGAAACAAGCACACAGAAAAGGATATTTTCATTCATATCTGTCAAATTGTGCAATAAAGAAATGCCCACATGACAAGAAAAGAACATGGGAAGAGAAACTACCTCAGAGGTATCTTTTGATCTGAAGAAAAGGAATGGAACTCAATGAAATACCTTATCTGGGCTTCTATTGAAATGCTATTTCATATTGTTTGGATTAAGAAGATAGTGACTGAATGCTGTCAGATAAAACATCAGATTGGCTCTGAATGTTACGTAGATGTGTATTTGCTGGGGAGCACTGCTTTAAGCTTTGTAACCACTTATTAAATATCCTTCATTATTTGTTACTGAGGATCTTGGCACTTTAATAGGACTAATGAACGTCAAATGATTGAAGAATGAATCTCAGCCTCCACCAGATAACAGGCCTTCATAGAAAGAAAAAAATCAGTCTAAAATGTAGAGATAGTTCCAGAGTATATAGGAGATGGTGGTTATTGAAAACAACAGTGCACTGATTCCTTGTGTACCAAAAGAAAAATCATCAGAAGTAACATGGCTGGGGTGATATGGGGAAATTCATATTTGTTCTGGTACATTCTGTGATTTGACAGTTTGCATTGGCGTCCCACCTCACTGCAGAACAGCAAGAAGAATCTTCCTGCACTCTGACACTTGTACTCCTCCATAACACAATTTAGCACTTCCTAAATGAAAGGTTGTATAAAAAGTCATTAGCAAGTTTGTTCATGAATTCAAAATTATTTTAAATTAGTGCACATTTAGAAAGATCTCTAGATTAACTCAATTCATAAACATTTCCATAAAATATCCATTTATCTTAATTTGTAGTTTGTAAGTACTAACACCTGCTTAGAACTTACTTAATGCATTTCTATTAATTAGTTCTCCGCCTGCATGTATACAAATGTTGGTACTTTCACCTGCAAAACCATTTTTGTTGTAGTTTGTGGCTCCTGGCACGCATCTGGTTTTTGGCAAGCACTTTGGGATTTGTGGTTCGTGCTCTATAATAAATCAGGAAAAGAGCCACAGCACAAAGAAATACACTGGGTGTACAACAACAGCCTTCATGGAGTTGCTTCACTGAGATGCATTTCCGGATGCAGAAAAGCTAAATATTGGTCTGTCTCCTTCTGTATCAAAATGAACTCTGCTTTTAGTGAGCGATCGGCTTTTTCTCCAGATAGCATTTGGATGAGCATAATGTCCAATTGCCTGTGTTATGGCTGATCATCTTGAGCTGCTTTATAGCCCAGGATGTCGCTGGGAAAAACACACAGACCCAGTTGCATGATTTCTCTTGTTCTGAACAGCTTCACACGAGGCCATTTGGCTATCTGGAGTATGAGGCTGCGTGGATATCCACATCTATTGGTCACAGTGCTACTGTTCTGACTGTTGAATTCTTTCGCCAGAAATCTGCCTTGGATTAAACCTTGTTCTTGGTGCTAACCTTTCTGCCCCTCAAAGCACAGAGTTCTGAGAGATCAGCAGCCTTCTCCTTCGCAGGCAGACAGCAGCTTCTTAAAGCAAGAAAGAGCTCAAAGGTAGAAAACTGCAGACTGCTCTCCCAGCCTTGGGAAGTACTGCTGTTTCCCACGTGAATGTCTTGAGTAAAGATACTTCAGCATAAAGCAGTACTATTTAACGGGTGAGCAAAGTGCTCTGCTAAGTAGTTTGGCTCCACTAGGTTGGGAGAACAAGCATACCTAATAATCAACAAGACCAGGCTGTGGTAATGTGGGTTTACTAGGAGACAGCAGAACTGCAGATGGGAACAAGTTTGGAAATGAAAAAGCAGAGAATGATAAGGTAAATGTGCTGTTGAATCCTTCAGTTCCTTGGTAAATATTTCTGTTTGGATGTTGAGATAGCTGACAAGACACAGCCTTCCTATTGTACCCCCTGCAAACTACCCAGGATAGGTATGTCTACTGCTGGTTTCCTCTTTTCCTCTTCTTTTGATTTATCTCTAAAAGAGGAAGCAAATAGCCCAGTATGGAATTCCAGTTAGCCAGCAGTGCTTCTGAAGCCTTGTGTTTCAGACTTTCCAGATCTATATTTATTGGCAGAGCTTGTCTTTCAAGGAGTGCAGGAAGAGAAGCAGCAAATTATGTGCACTATGGATCAAATGGTTTGCTGAGCTAATTTTAAAAAATGTAAACATAAACCAGCCCCCCACCCTTACTGCCCAGCATTCACTCCAAGCAAAAATGTGCTCTGGAAGAAATTAATTTATGAAACACACAGCTTCTGTTCCCTTACTTCTACTGCATAAGCTTGAAAAACAGAAGCAAACAAAACTAAAAGCCTTTAGCTATCTTTTTTGTATGTAAGGAAGGTACTGAGTGTTACCTTGTAGTCACCATGAATTGCTGGAATGCTTATAACTTGTTGTTTCATCCCACTGTGTTAGAGGGAAATCTCTTCTACAAAGAAAGCCAAATAGATTCTCCAAGCACCAC